GACGAATACGATGACATCTCCATGTTATAACGGCGTATTTCCCATACAATATCGTAGAACGCGTTGTCGACATTGATGCGAGATTTTGCTGAGGTCTCGATAAATTTGCAACCAAAGTCGCGGGCCAATGCTTCACCCTCTGTAATTTCCCACGTATCGTCAGTGCTGTCAGTAGAAGAAATATAATACGACGAATATTGGATCCATCGTATAGCCTAAGGAAAATTAAATATTAATAAAACCGTTGCGTACCTTGTTCAGATACCACCCGTTCTCTCTCCAAGTCGCACTTATTGCCAACGACGATGATGGGAAAATAGTCCTTGTCCTTCACGCGCAATATTTGTTGCTGATAGGTCATGATTTCTTGGAATGACTGCCTAGAAGTGATGGAGTACACCAAAAGGAAACCCTCGCCTGTCCGCATATATTGTTCTCGCATGGCTGAGTATTCTTCCTGTCCAGCTGTGTCGAGAACGTCCAGCAGGGCAACCTCATCGTCGATAACGCATTGTTTCCGATACGAGTCTATCCTCACGGAGTATTGTGACCGCAGTGTAAGTTAACACGGCCAGTTGATTTTGAGGGGGGGGGGGAAGAAAGGAAAGGGACCACGGGAATGACGCCGCCCACCTTCGATTGTTGGATCGTACTCATCGACGAAATGGCTCTGGATCAATTGGATGGTCAAACATGACTTCCCAACACCTCCTCCACCGACAACGACCAGCTTGTATTCTCGAAGAAACTGTTGAGAAAGGGGCACGACTTAGTATATCTCACGGATTGATATCCTCGTTTAGTTTCCCCGTTGTCCTCTTGAGAAATGGACATTGGGATCGATGGGAATGGAGATAGGGGTGGAGTGTGGACGTAGGCGTTGAGTTGACATTTAACTAACCTTTGAAGCCATTGACACCGAAATGTGGTTGGTTGAGAACCAAAACTCGTTGGGTTCAGGCAAAGGGAATGAATGACGACGAAGAAAAGGTGGCGAGAGTATGTCAATTGCAGCCCCGGTGGAGAGGCTGGTTCGAGAGACAACGAATGTTCTGAGGGTGTTCTAGGAAGAAGAATGGGCGCAAAAAAAACTACTTGACCACACAGGGGGGACAAGCGAGAGTAAACCCAAAGCCAAGCAAGCTTAGACAAAGTCAGGGGGCTTTAGAATCGAGAGAAAACCTTGGAAGAGAAGGTTGGATCAAGGATGGGTGGGTGTGGAGATGACGGAAACAATGAAGGAAGTGAAGAGGAGAGGCGAGAATCGAGATGGACGCAGGACAGAGGAGAAGAACGATGGCGCTTTACCCAACCGTTGTGGAGGCGGGGACTGTTGAACTTGTGGAAGTTGTGGTCTGGGGTTGGCGGTGTTAGGCGGGTTTAGGAGTGGTTTAGGGAGGGTTGGAGAGTCGAATCCAAGGTTTAGCAGGTTTAGCAGGTTTAGCAGGTTTAGTTGGAATGTGGCAGTTACCGATGGTAGACTCCTTTGAACTTGAATCACTCCATCGATTGAATTGAAATGAGGAATTGCAGATTCCACAACAAGAATTCGACATGGCTGCTGTTCCCGTCGTGCTGGTACACACAGCAAGTACTAGGATGTGCAGTACATGTAGTGTCCATGTACCAATACAAATCACTTGCTCACTGCCAGCACACTACCCTATGTCACTCTGCACACGATGTACCCCCTATTACGGAGTATTTACCTCTACATCGTCGCGCAGCCGATATACTGGTTTCTACCTCGACGTATACACACCACAGGGATGCATACAAGACCACAAATATCCCCAACTCTCCGCTGTTTGTGATCCTTATCATAACCCGTTGCCAATGATCTCCAGCTATTCGTGGATATCACGGGCGCCATCACAAGCTGCTAAAATTAATAGCCCAATCGCCCCCTCCTCGCTTCCCGGGGTTTGTGTGCCCTCACTGAGTTCCTTTCTACCATTTCCTCCTATCATCTTGCGTGGGCGTTGCAGTTCTAGGTTAACCTGCTGTGTATGGTCCGTCCGTCTACGCGGGGCTGCACTCCACACTCTGCATGGGCTTTATTCTATCCATCCCTGGCTCTTTCAAACGTATTGCGTTGCCGTGTATGCACAGAGTTGCGGGCAAAAATTAAAAAAAAAAAAAAAAATTAGAGCATGCAACTTGAACCTGCATATCTTTGCTCTGGCCACATGCATTCACATCCGTCCAAAAAATCACTAGCAGAAGGGGAAAAACTTACTCGCGGCCCAACCCACTAGTTATCTCCAAGAGTGAGTGGTAAGCACTGCTGTGCAAAATATCACGTTTTTTCATCCCCAACCACGCTATTAAAATCCAGACAGTAGATATTTAATTATTTCAATCAGGTCATATTAACTATATGTGAAATTAGAATCTAAATCATATTAACTGTCTTTTAAATAATCAGAATTGATAGATTGTGAAACTTCTGAAGTTATCTAATATCTGTTGATGTCTAGATTGACATCTCTATTAAACTGCTTTGATGTTCAGATGACATATTTGATAATGAAGTTGTAAAATATGAGAAAAGGTGACCTGCTTGATGATGTGGCCTGCTTACTGATAGATTATATTATGTGAAAAATGTTGTAAAGATTTGCTACAGTTTACACACTTGAAATTTGATTTTTATTGAATGCTTTGATAGTAATGCCACGTGACCACACCTATTTAAGCAGTGCTGCGCCCGCTAGATACTTACAATCAACCAACCTTCCACCTCCATCATAAGAATAATTCTTTCTCTATTTTGCAGGATTCTGCTATCTTTA